TATTTATTAATGAAATATTGAATAATTTTTTACTAATATAATTTTTTTACCTAATTTTAAACCAAACAATTAATTTTATAATTAAAAATTATTGAATAATGTAATTCATGTACGAAAATTTCAAATTATATTAATATAAGTATTATATGATCAATAATTCTCAGTAAATCATATTTTAAAACTTATTCTTCTTATTTTTTTTAATGAATAAAAAAACTAAATTAATTTAAAACAACTTATTATCTCAATTATATCTATATAGCTTAAAATTCACTTTTTTTTTAAATATATTAAAATATTTTTTAAATAATATTATAATATAAATTATTTAATTATTTGTAATTTTGACATACTTTAACCTAAACACAGTATAAAATTATAAATCTGATATTTATATTTTATAAAATTTATAAATATATTTTTTTTTCACATTTTTAGTTCCTCAATTTTTATTTAACTATATATATATATAAATATATTTATAAATAGAAAATAGAACATGTAATTTTGATAATAATCTATTTTTAAAATTGAAAATTTAATAAAATTAATTAAAAATAAAATATTAATTATATTTTGCTAAATTTGTTTCCTATTTAAATATATATATATATATATATATATATATATATTTATTAATTTTAAATTCTACCGATAAAAATAAAATAAAATAAAATTATGATAATCTATGTCAACCAAAATATTTTAATAATAAATGTAAAAATGATTATAAGAATTGTTTAGATTGGTAGAAAGTATCTAGACTGTTAATGGAAGGGCATAGAAAAACTCAATTCATTGTTAGTTACCATGAATGTCAAAGGCTACGGGGTCGAATTTATTTGAAATTAGAAAATAATTTTTTGCATTAACAAATATTATATAAAACATGAACAAGATAGGAACAAACTTAATGCAATTTTGATAATAATTTATATTTTTAAAACTGAAATTTGAATAAAATTAAAAAATTCATATATCTTAAATTCTAAATCTTTAATCATAAAACCTAAACCCTAAATTTTACTATTAAACCTAAATCCTAAATTTTACTCTTATTTTATTAATTTTTATATTTATATATATTTTTATTATTTTTAAAATTCATAAATACTAAAATAAATATTCATGTCATATTTCAATCAAAATATTTTTAACAGAAATGTAATTTAAATTATTGCTTAATCATTAGCCTATTAATATGGGTGTAGTCTCTCAAATCTAGAAAGATTGTGTGATCAACGTGGACGTAAACTCCCTTTCACAGACACATTCCTAGTACCGGATAAACATATCCTATGGCCGGTCTTTGTCATTGGGACAGAGCCGAATAAGTTGTTAAGTAGTAGTCACATATATAATTGTGTCAGCGTGACACTGAATGATGAACGAGAATGTTTTTTTTTTGTTTGGTCGAGTTATATTTAAAAAAAAATTAATATAATATGAAAAAACGACAGAGAACTAAAATTACAACCAAAAAAATAAAAAATTAATATTATAATTTTACTTAAAAATTAGTATATATTAAAATCTAATAATTGTAAAAATTTAGTTTTTAATATTCTTTATCAAACATTTTATATATTTCTTTCACTTTCTTAGATAAATAAATTTAAATATTCTTTATTTTTAATAAATTTATTGGTTTTACGTATGATTTTTAACAATATATTTATTCTATTATTTTTTATTTGTCTTTGATAACTATTAATTTTTCATCTTAGAATTTGTTTTATTTCAATAATTTTTCTTTTATTTAAATTAATCTTTAATAAATGTATTAATTTTATATTTAGATGTTGAAATTTTTAAATTTTTTAGTTTTTATCACCAGTTCTATTTTAGTGCTGATATGAAAATTGAAAAAAACTAAATCATTAAAAAAAATCATTACAAAATACTAAATATTTATAATCACAAACAAAAGATTAATAATAAAATTCGCATCATTGCTTAAGAAGACAGTAATATGATTTAAAGAATAAATATCTTATTGAATATACTAAAAAGAAATATATTGATATTTAAAGACTGTCAAGTTTTGTTTTTATGGGTTTTTTATGACATAATTAATCAAATCAAAAGTAAAAAAATGTAATGCTTTGTTCTAAGAGACTATTTTTTGTAGTTTCTTGTAATAATTTATTATTTCTTATAGATATTTTTTTTTCCATTAGATAGTAATTATTTTATTATCATGCTTTTTTAAAAATAAGAAATCTTTCTTAAAGGGTTGATTAACAATAATTTCTTAGTTCGGTAAGTCAATGTCTAGACAAGGTTTTCAAAAAGGATTTTTCTGGTCATCTAATAATTTAGTTAATATCAAGAGGAAAATAATAACAATATAACACTATATAAAGTAAAGAGAATGTAATATATGTGAGTAATTTTATTATTTTATTTGTAAGATATTTATTAAAATATATTTTAAATAGAAATAATATTGCTTGAATTTTTTAATAATGACTAACTGATTATATTGTAATATTATTTTGTACTATATATTTTATTGATTAATAAAATTGAATTTACTTTGACTATAATTGATAAAAAACAATATATAATTTTTAGTGATATTTTTTATAATTTTGGGTTAAATACATGATATACAACTCCAAATAAGTGTAGTTGAAAAAAATTTCAAATCACAAATGAAAAGTTTCACATTGTCAAAATCTTGCATAAATATTAAAGAATAGCTAATAATATATAACACAATTAATGCTATATGACAAAAGAAAAAAAAAAACAAATATTAACATTTCATACCAGGAAGTGAAAAAATCGATCTAGAAAATGAATATTTGAAATAAGCTGCTTATTTTAAGTGAAATATTCGTGTACCTTTTAATATAGTAAATAAGCGATTTCAAATAAATATGATTTTGTTTTGTGCAAGGCAAAGAAAGTAAAATTTTGAAAACAAACCTAAATTCAAATTTAGAAATCAAAATATATAGTATTTATTTTGTACAACACCTTTTATGGGCGAAATTTATACATACAACCCTCAACGTAGTATTTTGTTTGAAATGAATAAATGTTTTGTGCCTTGAAACTTACAAAATGTCATAAATAGATCCTAGGATATAGTAAAACTCCTTATCACGAATTAAAAGTTCTACAAAATGGTCAAAATGTTTCATTCTAATGTCAAATAATGAGATGAAATTTAATATGTAAGAAAAAACTGAAAAATAAAACAATTTTAATTTTTAACAATTAATATGTATAATGTTCCTTTCATGCGTTGCTTATTTCTAGACGAGATTTTATGTTTTAAAAAAAAATAATAATATGTTTTTTTATATCAAAATAAATAACAATAGAAGAAGAACAACACTTTGAAAGTGTTGATTTTTCTTAAGTTTCTAAGGATCTTATACCATGAGTGTTGTTTCCTCCATTTGAAACAAAAACTTCGTAGTGCTCTAAACCTTTTAATGCACTTCAAATAGCAACTCGTGACAATGTTTCCAACATCATTGGTCGATGCTCTCAACTTCTGTCTATTCTCATCGATTAAAAAAAAAATTGTGAATTTCGATACAATATTCCCATATGAGGTGTGACTAACAAGTGGAATATAATTCATCAAATTTGTAAAATTTTGTTTTAATTCTACAAAATTATGTCTGAACAATAATTTATTCGTATTTAATTTTTTAAATTAAAAAAAAAAACTATGACTTTATCATTGCGCCCAAAACGAGAAACTATGAATTAAATTCAGTCTCCCAAGGAACGAATTCCCAGTGTGATCAGTGAGAGGTCTATTTCAGAAGATATTTCTTATTGGATGTTTTTGTTTTTATTAAAGTTTATTCAGAAAAAAAAATCAATTTCTGCATGTCACTTTTAATATAGTAATAAGTGCTTTTAATAAATATGATGTTGCTTGGCTAAATAAATAGGTATTGCATTGGTAAACTAAAAATGTCATAAATAACATAAAAGAAATAATAAAATATTATGCCACAGATTAATTTTGCGCAAAGATTATTTTTTTTTTTGTTACGAATGATAGAGTATAGATTAAACGTAGAGAGCCTCGAAATTAAAAAGACATCCGAAGTATAATGTATAGATTAAAAGAAATTAACAGAAACATTATTTAAAAGAGCATCCTGTTGGTTCTCTCTTCATTCCGGTTTTTTATTTGTCCAGTGCAGTGCTAGCTAGGTAAAGTTGTGTTGTTTTTGAAGCATTTAAGAAGGGTAATGAATATTTTATAGTTTAAATACTTGCACAGTTTCGTTTCCATTTCACTATCTTTAGGTTCATCAACTGACAGAGAAAAAGGTCTTAGTTTCTGGAATGTTTTACTTCATTTTTTTCTATGCTCTTCTTTCGTTACTTGTTTTTTCTGGGGTGGTTTTCCTATTTCTTGTTTTACACAAAGTTCTGCTTTTTCTTCATTTAGTTTCTGATTTTTGTATCCTTGTTTCACTGTTTTGTGCCTTGCATGTTCTTGTCGTGTCAAAGTTTGTTCCTTTAAATATGTTTACTGTGCATGAATTATTTTACTTCTGTTTTTGCAACTTTTGTGGTTATACTTCTCAAACACCTCTTGTTTCAACCGTTCTCTTGAGGTGTTTGTTTCTGTGAGTTTTTCAAGTTCTGTTGCTAGTTACTTTCTGAGCAACATTCTTAGAGTTTCATCACTCAAATACTTACAAGGTATTAAAGTTTCGTTTTCATGGCTTTTCAATTTTCAATTTGTATTATTATTAGTAGTAGTAGTATATTTTATCCTCTAATTCCGCCATTTTCCACCTTGAATTTTCTACACTTAAACCCTTCCATTATTGAAAAAACTTTTTGCATTGGAAATTCTTACCAATGTCAATGTTTTTTTGTTTTGTGGGGTATGTGAATGTGACTTTTGTCATTATTTGTTCATTCTACATGGTTTCTATGTTGCACACTATTGTTTTGCTTAGTAATGGATATCTCTGATAAAAAGTCTCTTTTTGTAAATTGGGTGTATAGAAATGGATGCTTCAAAGTCCTCCGGGAAAAGGCATGAAGTTTGCTTCCCTACTCCTTTGTCTGGCAAGGAACCGAGGGAAGTGTCTGCGAAACGCATGAAGGTGAATCGAGCCTTAATGACGTTTAGGAACTTGTTTCACAAGTTAGTGCATCAATTTAAAGTCAACGAACCTGAGAATTCTGATCTTAATAGAAAAGCTATGGTGGAAGCAGCAGTGATAATGAAAACTAAGAATCAATGGGAGAACACTCAAAGGTGCGTGGGAGGTATACTAGGAATCGAGATTGGCGATGTTTTCCAGCACTGGGTTGAACTCAATATCGTTGGCCTCCATCGGATATTTTGGACTAGGATTGATTATAAGATTATGAGCAAACGCCCGTTGGCCACAAGCATTGTCGTAGCTGATGGCTATGACAATAATGGTTCCTTGGTTTATGTACTGCATGGACGAAATCCCACTGCAAGGAGAAATCCAGTTCGTGGTCAAATAACGGGTAAAGGAAATTTAGCACTACAAAACAGCATGCAAGCTAAAAGTCCTGTGAGGGTTATATTGAGAGTTGATGGAAATTCTGATGGTGCGGTCGTTAGCAGCAATTCTTGCTCATTTGTCTATGATGGTTTGTATTTAGTGGATTCTGTCACAATAGAAAGAGGGAGAGATGGAAGGCTTGTGTACAAGTTTTCACTGAGTAGAATTTTGGGACAACCCCCAACTTTTCTTGCCCTTAAGGACCATGGGGAAAGTTCAAAGCAACATGCAAGGCTTACTCCTAGGAAGAGACGCAAACCTAGAGCTTGTGCTGTCCGAAAGGAGATTGTTCGAGTTAATGATCTTTCCAATGGTGAGGAGAAGTTTACTGTTCGGGTGGTGACATCAAACGATTGTGACCAGCTACCCACATCCTTTGAGTATATTCTAAACAACATTTACTCAAAGAAGTTCGAGCAGGCAACTCTTTGCGCCTGTGACTGTTCAGATGGATGTGTTAACAAGGAGACATGTGTTTGCTTTATGAAGAATGGTGTCAAAATGCAGAATGATTCTAAAAAAAGAGTTGTTTCTCCCAAGGAATCATCACTTATATATGAGTGTGGCCCCTCTTGCAAGTGCTCCTCCTCTTGCATCAACCGAGTAAGTCAGCATGGTATTCGGTTTCAACTAGAAATCTTCTTGACTGAACTGAAAGGTTGGGGTGTTAGAACACGCTCTTTCATTCCCTCTGGGAGCTTTGTCTGTGAGTACATTGGAGAAGTCACTCACCATAAGGAGGCTGCATGGAAGCTGGATAATGAATATATATTTCACATGGGTATGTTCATGATGAAACTTCCTTTTCTTGTGTTTTGGACTGAACAGTTGCAGTATTCTTTTGCAGGTGTTGGAAAGTTCTCCATCAATGCTAGTAAACGTGGAAACGTTGGAAGGTTTATAAATCATAGCTGTTCTCCAAATCTCCTTGTGAAAGATGTCATGTATGATCACAATGACAAGAATCTTCCTCACAAAATGCTGTTTGCTGCAAGGGACATTCCTCCTGGTAGAGAGCTGAGTTATGATTATAATTCCTTCAATGGAAAATTCATCAAGTTTAAGTTTAATACTTGCTACTGTGGATCACCCGCATGCAATGGAAAGATCTACATCTGAAGGTATAAAATTTAAACTGTTTTAATATTAAGTGCTGCTTTTTACTTGTTGTCTTGTTAGTTTGTTGCATTGTGAAGATAATTTAGACAGGGATTATATTATACTAATGGAAAAACTGGTGTTAGCTTTGTCTATATATTCATATTTTCTTATCATCATCATCATCATCTAATCTTATTGTCTTGTTTTCTTATTTAGATCATTTTATAGTATTTATTAGTAGTTTTACTGGTATAAAAACAAGAACAATAATATAATAATAATAATACGAAATTTGTAATGTTGATATACTGTTATTTGACAGGTAAAGATTGAGCTTGGTGGGAAGGATGATTCATTCTCATGGACATGATTTCAACCACATTGTGTTGTGAAGTGTGAAGATTTAGTTATATCTACATGAGAAGCCAATAATATGTTGCATTGTGAAGATTTACCTCTGCGGTGAAGAATTTACCTCTAGTCCACATGAGAGTCAAATCATATTGCATTGTGAACATTTATCTGCATGGGAAGAATGATTCATTTACAGCAGTTGATGATTCATTCATACCGATTAGAATAATTGCATTACAAGAACCTATGTGTGTTTGCATTAAGAAGCTATATGTATGTTTGCATTTCAAGAACCTATGTATTTTTGCATTGCAATATTTGATTTGGATTTATCTCTTTGCTTCTTTCATATTGTGATGATCTCTTTTTCTCCTTCGACAACCAAGACAAAATGCAAACCCTGTACAAGAATACACTGCAAGTCGTTTGGGTTTGCATATCACTGAAAAAATTATAATATTTGTGACGTTTAAAATTATAAATTTTTATAAATAAAATTTGTTTCAATTAAAATTTGTATATATAAAAAACGATTTATAACGAATAATTTTTAAATACTGGTATTTATGACAAAAAAATATCAACGATTAAAAACTGTCATAAAACATATTTTATTTAAAATTTCTGATGTTTTGAAACCGCTACAATTTTTTTTTATTATGTAACATTAATATTTTCAAATCAAGTAATAAACTTTAATGCTAAATATGAAATAATTATTTAAGTTAGTTAATAGGTTATATATATATATATATACATATTTTTTTTGAAATAGTAAATTGGTTCTATATGGCTTATCAATTGTTAATTTGTTATTATTATAGTTAAAAAAATAATAATTACATAAAGTGGAGTATTTAAAATTGAACCAATCCAACAAATGGAAAACTGATCAAAAACTAAGATTTTTTGGATTACAAATTTTTAAAATTGATCCTTTCGGTTTAATTTTTGGTGTGATAGTAAAAAACCAATCCAAATAGAATAAAACTAAAATTATAATATATAATAACACTTACTTTAAGTGAACCAATTAATTTAGTATAATTTAAGACATGTATTAATAATTTTTAAATTGAATGTGAAAACATATGAAAATAATCATAATTATTTATTGACGATGTTTTGATAATATGTTTCTCTATTCAATAGTTTTATTATAATATATTTAACAATTTTATAACAAAAAAATTGTAAAAAACTTCAAAACGTTGATTGGATTTGGTTCAGTTTTTTTTAAATAAAAAGAAAACCAAACCGAACGTTGGAGTGATTTTTAATATAAGATTGAACCAAACTGCATCACAACACCTAATATTTTTTTTCTCTCTCGTTATTCTTTAATACTTAATCACTTTTTTTTTTGGTTTTTTGCGTGATTGTGAGTGTGTTAGAGCAATTATTTGCTTATGGCCAAGTTGCTTAGCAACTGTGTTTATAAGAAATTATGGTTAGAATAATTTGACTTGGCAGCAATAAAGTTAAACACTGCATCTTATAGAAATAACATTTTTAAGAGTTGTTTTTCTCAAATTTTTTCAAGAAGGTGAAGAGAAAATAAGAAAGAAGGAGGGGAGAAAGTGATGCGAGGAAGGAATAAAAGTATAAAATAGTAATTGAATGGTGAGTTGCTTATAAGAACTCACCATTAAAATAAATTTATAAAAATTTAAAGTAAGTTACTTAAATATGATATGACATATGTGAGAGATGATTTTTTATTTTTATTATGAGATATATGAAGTTACGAAGGCATACATTATATGTGATTGAAGCCCAAAATATATCTTAAAAAAAAAAAATCTAAGAAGAAAGATTACAAGAAATTATTATTGATATATTAGTGTGTTAATTATGTGAATTTAAAAAATATTTGTAGAGAGAAAAATGTAAAGAAAGCCTAGGATAGATAGGATAAACGTAAGATAACATCTATTTAAATTTATTTACTCAGTTAGATAGATTTACTACTTATATATAAATTTTAATAAATAGAAATATATTTGTGTGACATAATATAATTATTTTTTTCTCTTTATTTTTTTTCTCTCTCTTTATTAACTTTTTGTTTGTTCATTTTTGTCTGTTTTCATTTTTTAGTTTATCTTCATCTTCTTTTTTCTCTCTTTTTTGTTTTCTTTTTTAGGAAAATATTACAGAATAAAGTTGAGATATTACAAATATTATTTGTTATCTTATAATTATTACGAAAAAAATTAAATATTTATTTTGAAATAATTTTTTAACAAATAATTTTTTAAAATTAGCTAATTTAACTAGTTATCATAATTCAATTTAATTATAACTATATTAAATTATTAAGTAAAAATATATTTAACTCATAAATATTTGATATTTTTTTATTAGATGAGTTATTATTATTATGATAAATTATTTATGTTATAGTAAATAAATTTATGTATTATCAAAATAAATAAAATTATTTATTGTAATCATATATAGTTTCAAATAATTAGTTAATATTTTTTAGTTTAAATGATGAAATTTGTTTTAATATATTTTTATTAAATTTTAATATAATGGTTTAATTAGGAGAATAAGTGAGAGAGAAGAGAGAAATAAGAGACTTATACCAAAAATGAGAAAAATAAAGAGTGAACAAGAAAAGAGAAAAAAGAAATTAGGAGGAGAGAAAAAAAAACTAGTACAAGTCTAATTGGGTAAATAAATTGATAGAGATTTTGTTTAAATAATTTTTCTTCTAAAATATATTATTCATACTATGTATTTTATAATATTTGATATTATTTAATAATTTTAAACTGTAATATATATATATATATATATATATATATAACCAAATTTATCAATAAATAGTAAATAATTAAATAAATTTTATTTATTTAGTTTAAAAATATACTTTTTATTAAAAATATGAATTTTATATATTTTTGTCTTTTTACTCCATATTAAATACCATAAATATAATATTAAATGATAAAGAATAATTAATAAATTATTTATTAAGTATATATATATATATATATCTTATACTTATTACTTTTAATAAATATATAGTATTTAATAAATAATGTATTAAATGTTATTTATATATTTAAACATATGACTTTTCAATGTTCCTTTTCACTCTATATTACATTGAGTTTGGTTAACATTCAAAATAATTTTCAATATTGAAAGATTTGTCAGATTCTCTACCATAGAAGTAAGGATCTTTGCTAAATAATAATAATTAACATTTTCTATGTAATTTAGTTAATAATAAAAAAATTGAAAAAAATGAGGGGAGAATGATGAAAATGTCCTTACATTCCCAAGAGATGATTTTGATGATGATTCAAGTCAACACCATTCAAGATGAATTAAGGACAAGCTGAATTTATGACGTTGGTAAAAATATGAAATATTTCCCTACATGATGTAAACATGACCTATGATAAGGGCTAGAGCAAGGGAAACAAAAGAAGATCTTCAACAAGTATTGTTGGTTGACCAAATTGTGTTTTGGATTAATCAATTAATGGACTTTAATTTAGTTTTATTGCAAGTTGTAATAAGGGTCCAATTGGAAATTTAGTTATCAGTCTTTGGGAGACCAAAATGGTGCATAGCTGATTGACTTTTGGATGCCACAATTTGAGTTACAATCAATCATTAAGTAGTTTTCAATTCATAAGTTAATAAATCATTATTAGCATTTATTTTCCTTTAATGAATATTTGTAACTCTGATGACAAAGTTTCTTTATAAGTTGAACCATTTTTATCAGAAATAACAAGTTGAGTTTATTTTTAGAAATATTAGAGTTTATCTTTTTTACCTTAGTGAGAGTGATTCTTCTAAGTTCTTGAGTGATTCAAGAATATTTGGCTGTATCAAAAGATTTTTACATCCTTTGTGTGTTGCCTCCCTTGGGAAAAATGATTCTTTCCTTCCACCTTCTTTCTAATTCCTAAATTTCTTACAAGGTTTTAACCCTAAAGATCATAAATTACCCCTTGTGATTCATATCACTACATGCCCAAGATATATTTTTTATAAAGATGATGATTCAAACAAGCCCAAGATGATTCTTGAAGACTAAATAGAGTCTTAGAATACTGGATATGGAGGTACAAGTTGATGAAGTAATATTATGCATAAGCCTCCAAAGCACAAGTGTGATAAAATTCATAACATGATATTTTTCACTGTCACAATTAATTATGATGCATCAGAAATGGAAAAATGATTTTCTCTATCATAATTGATTATACTGGTAATATAATCAATTATGACAATTCAAATTTAAAAAATATATCTGTTTTAAAGAATAAATATTTTTTAATACATCCTCATTTTCTCTATGATATTATTAATGTCCAACGACAATTTTCTGATGTTATTTTTCTATTTAAGTTTTGATGAAAAATAAAAAACACACAATTACAGAATTCGAAAATACAATTTACATTCAATCAGTTTTGAGAAAAAAATTTTGAGCAATGCAATAGAGATATTTTACACTTTTTGAGAAAACTCTCTTCTCTACTATCTTATGTGTTTTCATTGTTAATCACACTTGTTCTTGGAGATTGACATTCTATAGGCTTCTATAATTTGTTGTCTCCATTACCTAGGTGTGTCTGTTCTTATTTTTATTACCTTCATCCTTTTTGTATTGGTGAAAAGGAGGTGTTTTTCATCCCTAGTGTGATTCTAGGGAGTTGTTCATCCTTAGTGGGATTCTAAGGAGGTGTTTTCATCTTTTGATTTGTTCAGAGGAGGTGTTCATCCCTAATGAAATTCTAGGGAGGTGTTCATCCTTAGTGAGTTTCTAAGGAGGTGATTGTCTTTTTAATTAGTTTATTTTTTACTAGTTCTTCTGCTGAGTTGATTGTAATTTGTAAACTAAATTTGAAAGATAGTGAATGGGGAGTCACTCTTGTGCTAAGAGTTGACTGGGAACTGGATGTAGGGTTGGTTATACCTGAACCAGTATAAATCTCTGTGTGCTCTTCTCTTTCCCTTATCTCTTTCTCTTTTCCTGATTATATTATTGTTTCCGCTTTATCTGTGTTCAAACAAATTATTGACTCACAAATAAATTTTTAGTTTGACATCTATTTTAATTTGTGCATCTATTCACCCCCTCTAGATGTCATTTGTCTAACAAAAAAAACTCTACGACTTGCCATGGTATAAAAGTAAGCATTGGGTTTGTCAAAATTTGTAAGAATCCAAAATGATGATAACTTTAAAATTATTTTCTTTATTTCTTGTTCTCTCAAATGTAATAATTGTAAATGCTACATTTTTCAAAAGTTTAGACTTGAACCTCGTCGACCATCAAGGTTTTAAAGAAAGAGTTAAAATTAGCAGAAATAGTGTGAATAACATCGAAAGTGAAGAGTTTCATGTTGCCCCTCAAGGTTTTTCTCCATCATCTGCTTCTTCACATGGCTACACCGATCCACATAGTAGAGATTTATATGAGTTGAATCCACTGGTTGATTCAAAGAATATAATCAATACTCCAACTCATAAATTCATTATTAGTAACGATAAAATTACGAGGTTTCGTGTTCTTCCTAAAGGACCTGTTCTACCTTCTGGACCATCGCATGGTTGCAGTACACCATCTTGTGGAGATCCAGATAGCCTAAATCCACCAATTGAGGCGAATAATGTATTCAGAGATTGGGTTCACAGATATATTGTTAGCAACATCAAAAACAAAGAATTTCATGTTGCCCCTCAAGGTTCTTCCCCATCATTTGCTTCTTCAAGTGGCTGCAGTGATCCACCTCGTAGAGATTTACATGAGTTGAATCCACTGGTTGATTCTAAGAATGTAATCAAAGCTCCAATTCATAAATTCATTATTAGCAATGATAAAATCACGAGGTTTCATGTTCTTCCTAAATGACATGTTCCACCTTCTGGACCATCACATGGTTGCAGTACGCCACCTTGTTAAGATCCACAGAGCCTAAATCCATCAACTAAGACGAATATTAGCAATATAAAAAATAAAGAGTTTTATATTCTTCCCAATCCACCTTGTGGAGTTTAAATCATTGTAGTGATCTAGCTTATAGAAATCTTATTTTGATGATAATGTTCCACCAACTCAACAACTTATAGATACATACAAACGTGTGTGAGTGTGTCTATATTTATTTTATGTAATTGGTGGTAAAGTTACTCTAAAAATAACTATTTACAATAAAATAATAAACATGAAGTTTTTTTAGTTTAATTTAACTTGATATTGTAGGAATGGTAAAAATTGGACATTTTAGTTTTAACGTATTCTTAAGTTTATTAATTAACTTTAAGAATTTTTTGGAATGTTGAATATATATATATATATATATATATATATATAAAAGCTGTATAATAAGAATTTGAAATTTTTTAATAAATAATTGAATGAGACAATATTTAAAATCTTAATATTTTTTTATTAATTTTTATTGTTTCTTTTGAAAAATATAGAAAACATTTATTAATTTTTCATCCAATTAATTTTTAGTAAAAGATAATTTTTTATAAATAGTATAATATCTTTTAATTTTTTATTTATTTTATAAATATAATTTTAAATAATAATTATTTTATTATTATTATATATTAGTATATATTATTATTATTATTATTATTATTATTATCTTATATTATAGAATAAAGTTGAGATGTTACAAATATTATTTGTTATCTTATAATTATTAATAAAAAATTAAATATTTATTTTGAAATAATTTTTTAACAAATATTTTTTAAAATTAACTAATTTAACTAATTATCATAATTCAATTTAATTAAAACTATATTAAATTATTAAGTAAAAGTATATTTAACTCATAAATATTTGATATTTTTTTAATTAGATGAGTCATTATTATTATGAAAAATTATTTATGTTATAGTAAATAAATTTATGTATTATCAAAATAAATAAAATTATTTATTGTAATCATAGTTTCAAATAATTAGTTAATATTTTTTAGTTTAAATGATGATATTTGTTTTAATATATTTTTATTAAATTTTAATATAATGGTTTAATTAGGAGAATAAGTGAGAGAGGGAAGAGAGAAATGAGAGACTTATACAAAAAAGGAGAAAAATAAAGAGTGAATGAGAAAAAAAATTAGGAGGAGAGAGAAGAAAACTAGTACAAGTAAATCTAATTGGGTAAATAAATTGATAGAGATTATGTTTAAATCATTTTTTTCTAAAATATATTATTCATACGATGCATTTTATAATATTTGATATTATTTAATAATATTAAACTGTAATATATATATATATATATATATATATATATATCCAAATTTATCAATAAATAGTAAATGATTAAATAAATTTTATTCATTTAGTTTAAAAATATACTTTTTATTAAAAATATGACTTTTATATTTTTCTTTTTCTTTTATATATATATATCATCTTTGAATTTTTGTCTTTTTACTCCATATTAAATACAATAAATATAATATTAAATGATAAAGAATAATTAATAAATTATTTATTAAATATATACATATATATATATATCTTATACTTATTACTTTTAATAAATATATAGTATTTAATAAATAATGTATTAAATGTTATTTATATATTTAAACATATGACTTTTCAATGTTCCTTTTCACTCTATATTATATTGAGTTTGGTTAACATTCAAAATAATTTTCAATGCTGAAAGATTTGTCAGATTCTCTACCATACAAGTAAGGATCTTCGCTAAATAATAATAATTAATATTTTCTATGTAATTTGGTTAATAATAAACAAAAAAACTCTATGACTTGCCATGGTATAAAAGTAAGCATTGGGCTTGTCAAAATTTGTAAGAATCCAAAATGGTGATAACTTTAAGATCATTTTCTTTATTTTTTGTTCTCTCAAATGTAATCATTGTAAATGCTACATTTTTTAAAAGTTTAGGCTTGAACTTCGTCAACCATCAAGGTTTCAAAGAAAGAGTCAAAATTAGCAGAAACAGTGTGGATAACATCGAAAGTGAAGAGTTTCATGTTGCCCCTCAAAGTTTTTCTCCATCATCTTCTTCACATGGCTACACCGATCCACATCGTAGAGATTTATATGAGTTGAATCCACTGGTTGATTCAAAGAGTATAATCAATACTCCAACTCATAAATTCATTATTAGCAACGATAAAATCACGAGGTTTCATGTTCTTCCTAAAGGACCTGTTCCACCTTCTGGACCATCGCATGGTTGCAGTACACCACCTTGTGGAGATCCAGATAGCCTAAATCCACCAATTGAGGCGAATAATGTATTCAGAGATCGGGTTCACAGATATATTGTTAGCAACATCAAAAACAAAAAATTTCATGTTGCCCCTCAAGGTTCTTCCCCATCATTTGCTTCTTCAAGTGGTTGCAGTGATCCACCTCGTACAGATTTACATGAGTTGAATCCACTGGTTGATTCTAAGAATGTAATCAAAGCTCCAATTCATAAATTCATTAGTAGCAATAATAAAATCATGAGGTTTCATGTTCTTCCTAAAGGACCTGTTCCACCTTCTGGACCATCTCATGGTTGCAGTACACCACCTTGTGGAGATCCAGATAGCCTAAATCCACCAATTGAGGCGAATAATGTATTCAGAGATCGTGTTCACAGATATACTGTTAGCAACATCAATGTTGCCCCTCAAGGTTCTTCCCCATCATTTGCTTCTTCAAGTGGCTGCAGTGATCCACCTCGTAGAGATTTACATGAGTTGAATCCACTGGTTGATTCTAAGAATGTAATCAAAGCTCCAATTCATAAATTCATTGTTAGCAACGTTAAAATCACAAGATTTCATGCTCTTCCTAAAGGACCTGTTCCACCTTCTGGACCATCGCATGGTTGTAGTACGCCACCTTGTTAAGATCCACATTGCCTAAATCCATCAACTAAGACGAATAATGTGTTCAAAAATCATGCTCATAGATATGTTGTTAGCAATATAAAAAAATAAAGAGTTTTATGTTCTTCCCAATCCACCTTGTGGAGCTTCAAATCATTGTAGTGATCTACCTTATAGAAATCTTATTTTGATAATAATCTTCCACCAACTCAAAAACTTATAAATACATACAAACGTGTGAGTGTGTCTATATTTATTTTATGTAATTGGTGGTAAAGTTACTCTAAAAGTAACTATTTACAATAAAATAATAAACATGAAGTTTTTTTAGTTTAATTTAACCTTGATAGTGTAAGAATGGTAAAAATTGGACATTTTAGTTTTAACGTATTCTTAAGTTTATTAATTAATTTTAAGAATTTTTTGGAATGTTGAATATATATATATATATATATATAAAAGTCGTATAATAAGAATTTGAATTTTTTTAATAAATAATTGACTGAGACCATATTTAAAATCTTAATATTTTTTTATTAATTTTTATTGTTTCTTTTGAAAAATATAGAAAACATTTAGTAATTTTTCATCCAATTAATTATTAGTAAAAGATAAATTAAATAAAAAAATTAAAAGATAATTTTTATAAATAGTATAATATCTTTTAGATTTTTTATTATTTTATAAATATAATTTTAAATAATAATAATAATAATAATTATTATTATTATTATCTTATATTATAGAATAAAGTTGAGATGTTACAAATATTATTTGTTATCTTATAATTATTAAGAAAAAATTAAATATTTATTTTGAAATAATTTTTAACAAATATTTTTTTTAAATTAGTTAATTTAACTAATTATCATAATTCAATTTAATTAAAACTATATTAAATTATTAAGTAAAAGTATATTTAACTCATAAATATTTGATATTTTTTAATTAGATTAGTCATTATTATTATGAAAAATTATTTATGTTATAGTAAATAAATTTATGTATTATCAAAATAAATAAAATTATTTATTGTAATCATAGTTTCAAATAATTATTTAATATTTTTTAGTTTAAATGATGATATTTGTTTGAATATATTTTTATTAAATTTTAATATAATGGTTTAATTAGGAGAATAAGTGAGAGAGGGAAGAGAGAAATGAGAGACTTATACAAAAAAAGAGAAAAATAAAGAGTGAATGAGAAAGAAAAAAATTAGGAGAAGAGAGAAGAAAACTAGTACAAGTAAATCTAATTGGGTAAATAAATTGATAGAGATTATGTTTAAATCATTTTTTCTAAAATATATTATTCATACGATGCATTTTATAATATTTGATATTATTTAATAATTTTAAACTGTAATATATATATATATATATATATATATATATATATATATATATCCAAATTTATCAATAAATTGTAAATGATTAAATAAATTTTATTCATTTAGTTTAAAAATATACTTTTTATTAAAAATATGACTTTTATATTTTTCTTTTTCTTTTATATATATATATATATATATATATATATATATATATATATATCATCTTTGAATTTTTGTCTTTTTACTCCGTATTAAATACAATAAATATAATATTAAATGATAAAGAATAATTAATAAATTATTTATTAAATATATATATATATCTTATACTTATTAATTTTAATAAATATATAGTATTTAATAAATAATGTATTAAATGGTATTTATATATTTAAACATACGACTTTTCACTCTATATTACATTGAGTTTGGTTAACCTTCAAAATAATTTTCAATGCTTGAAAGATTTGTCAGATTCTCTACCATACAAGTAAGGATTTTTGCTAAATAATAATAATTAACATTTTCTATGTAATTTTGTTAATAATAATAATAATAATAATAATAATAAAACTCTATGACTTGCCATGGTATAAAAGTAAGCATTGGACTTGTCAAAATTTGTAAGAATCCAAAATGATGATAACTTTAAGATCATTTTCTTTATTTCTTGTTCTCTCAAATGTAATCATTGTAAATGCTACATTTTTCAAAAGTTTAAACTTGAACTTCGTCAACCATCAAGGTTTCAAAGAAAGAGTCAAAATTAGCAGAAACAGTGTGGATAACATCGAAAGTAAAGAGTTTCATGTTGCCCCTCAAAGTTTTTCTCCATCATCTTCTTCTTCACATGGCTACACCGATCCACATCGTAGAGATTTATATGAGTTGAATCCACTGGTTGATTCAAAGAGTATAATCAATACTCCAACTCATAAATTCATTATTAGCAACGATAAAATCACGAGGTTTCATGTTCTTCCTAAAGGACCTGTTCCACCTTCTGGACCATCGCATGGTTGCAGTACACCACCTTGTGGAGATCCAGATAGCCTAAATCCACCAATTGAGGCGAATAATGTATTCAGAGATCGGGTTCACAGATATATTGTTAGCAACATCAAAAGCAAAGAATTTCATGTTGCCCCTCAAGGTTTTTCCCCATCATTTGCTTCTTCAAGTGGTTGCAGTGATCCACCTGGTAAAGATTTACATGAGTTGAATTCACTGGTTGATTCTAAGGATGTAATCAAAGCTCCAATTCATAAATTCATTGTCAGTAACCTTAAAATCACAAGATTTCATGCTCTTCCTAAAGGACCTGTTCCACCTTCTGGACCATCGCATGGTTGCAGTACGACACCTTGTTAAGATCCACATAGCCTAAATTCATCAACTAAAACGAATAATGTGTTCAAAGATCATGCTCATAGATATGTTGTTAGCAATATAAAAAATAAAGAGTTTTATGTTCTTCCCAATCTACCTTGTGGAGCTTCAAATGATAGTAGTGATCTACCTTATAGAAATCTTATTTTAATCTTATTTTGATGATATTATATATATATATATATATATATATATATATATATATATATATAAAGTCGTATAATAAGAATTTAAAATTTTTTAATAGATAAGTGAGTGAGACGATATTTAAAATCTTAATATTTTTTTATTAATTTTTATTGTTTCTTTTGAAAAATATAGAAAACATTTAGTAATTTTTCATCTAATTAATTTTTAGTAAAAGATAAATAAAATAAATAAAATTACAAATTAAAAGATAATTTTTTATAAAAAGTATAATATCTTTTAGATTTTTTTTATTTTATAAATATAAATTTAAATAATAATAATAATAATTATTATTATTATTATCAAACTTTTATTATCTAATATATTTTATATAATTATGATAGTAATAATTTATTTTATTTTATAATAAATATTATTATTATTATTAATAAATTTATTGTATATTTATTATATTATAAAAAAAATACTATTTTACTAAATTTCAATTAAATCTTTATATCTTAAACTTATAGAATTAAAATCATTAATAATTTATATTAGAGACGATTTTGTTGGCTTGCACTGCATTAAAAATAAAAAGCATTTTAGTGAATGTTTGAGATATATATCATGCCGCTTATTAATTATAGATTTGATCATTAAGATTGTCAAATAAAATAAATACATTGACCAAGATTCATAGTAATAAATTTTGGTAAGACATGATAGTTCATTATGAATTTAATTTTAATTTATGTATATATTGAATACATTTTCTCTTTATTTATTTATGTATATATTGAATAAAATTATGATTATTTTATTATTTAGAAATGTAAGTTTTACATTATTTTGACATAGAATACGAGAATAAAATGTTTGAAAATTAATTTATTATTACAATTATGATATCAAATATGTTATTAAAGTTATATCACGATTACATTGAAACTAAATTTATATTATATTAGGATTGATGTTAAGAATTATTATTTTGAAATATCTAATTATGATAACTCAACTTAATAATAACTAGATTAAAATATTTAATAATAATACATTTAAATTATAAATATTTGATATTTTTTTAATTAGATGAGTAATTATTTATTATAATAAAATAATTTTAAATTATTTATTTACGTCATCATAAATTAAATTATTTATCATCAGAATAAATAAAATTATTTATTATTATCATAATTTTAAATATTTAGTTAATAATATTTTAGTTTTAATATGTTTTTTTTAATATTTGTTTTAACATATTTTTATTAAATGTTAATATAGTAGTTTAATTAGGAAAATAAGTAGAAGAAGAGAGAAGAAAATAAGAGATGTAAAATAGAAAAAAAAAAAGATGAGAAGTGAATGAAAAAAGAGAAAAAAATTGGTATGAAGAATAAACAAATCTATTTGAATAAATAAATTCATATAGTTAAAATATATTATTTTTAAGATTCATTTTCATATTTATTTTTATTTAAAATATTATTTGATATAAATCATGTAAAAATTAATAAAGTAAATGAATTTAGGGACAAAATTATTTTGGTCTTTATCAATTATTAAATTACGATGAAAGTATTTAGTCACTATTAGTGGTTTCAGTGGCAAACTTTTGGTCGTCATACGGTTTAGTTACTGTAGAGTCGCTAACATTGGCTAAAACCTATCATCAAATACGGATTGATTGATATTCAGGTTACTGAACAATCTTGTTTTAGTCACTAAATCAAGTAACAATAGTTTTTGGTTGCTAAACTACAGAAAATAAACAAAACCATATTTAAAAGTGAAAAAGAAATTACATTCCAGATATTATTCTAAATATTTTAAAAGTAATAAAGTTATTATGCATATAACAACATTTGATTTAGGATTATATATATTGAAAAAGTGAAACTAAACACCGTTGAAAAGGAATTAATAGTATAAAAGAGAGGGTCAAACTTCAACTATATGTCTAAATCATCAGTACATACAACAGTATATGCAATTTTATTTAACAGCACAAAGTGTTGCCATATCAGATTTTAAATCCATTGACGCCTCTTCAGGCACGACCCCCATCCAAACTTTTTCACCATAATCAAATGCTGCTGCAGCCAAAGATCGTGCTACTTTATTGGCTGTGGGGTGTGCCGACAAGAAAGATGATCCTGTCCCCTCGATCATGATTTTGCAGTCTTCTAGAATTGAATCAAGATAGGAAACATCATTATCATCATCATCACCATCATTTTTTTCTGGTGTTATTTCATTCCACCGAGTGTGTAACATTTTGCAATCAGTTTCGAACTCAACATTTGAAAAACCCAGCTCCCCTGATTGCGCTGCAGCCCATTTAAAGCATAGTGCATCAACAATTAGGGGCTCAGAAAACTCGTCCTCCAGAAGAAGTGTACCTGCAGTTTTTAATTCATATATTTCAAACATACAGAGAGTTACCTAAAATATTGGTTAATAGACTCTAAATCATGTTGGTTAATAGTTTCTCAAGTAGTGAAAAGTTCTTCCAATTCAGGAACTTGAAAGACTATTTCTATAAAACAACTTGATTTAAAAGCCATCTAATTAAAGTTCACTCTATGAAAAAATTCGTAAGGATTCGTATGTAAAAATTGTACATGATGCTAGAGTTTCACCCAAACTGTTTCTGAAGATGACTCCCATGCCAATACCACCAACACTTCCTCTGGCAACAGCAGCAAAATTGCCCTTAATGTGATGAAGCGGTGGTGGGGCCCACACCTCGCGAGTGATCATGGACCACGCCTTGTCCATAACCTGCTTGCAATCCAGTTTTATATCATCGAAAATCAAGACATTGCGTCTATGCCACAGTGCCCACAGGATGGCGCACACAATGCCCATCGCTTTCGCGTCCAAAACGCACACACACTGTTCGATCAATTGCGTCAGACTCTTCACTTCGTCCAGCAACTCCACTCTCAGCCCCAACGGCGACGCGAACCAGACGCGCTTAATCTCTTCGCACATAAACAAAGCGTGCGCGGTCGTCTCGGTGCCGTTGCCGCAACACGGACAAGTGGCGTCCACGAGAATGCTTTTTTCTTGCAACAAAGATTTCACCGGTAGTTCCTCTTTGCACGCACGCCACACCACGCTCTTGCACTTTCGAGGCACGTCTGCGTGCCATATACCCCTCCAGACCTGTGACTTTGTGTCCAAAAATACCATTTTCTTTTTCTGCAAACAAACACAAACAAGAACATGATCGATAATCTTAAACTGCACGATCAAGATCAAATCCAGGAAAAACAAGAAAACAAAACTTACATAAGGAACTTAATTAGTAATTAATAGTAAGAAGAACATGTAACCTCCGATTCTATGGCGATGAAAGACGCCGGGAAAGAGGAGGAATCAAGTAAACTGCCAACACGGAAAAACGAAATAAAATCGTATCAAGATAGAAATCGAAAACTCAAATAATAAGAAGAAGAAGAAAAGTGAATAAGAAATCGAAATCATAAAAGCAAAATACATTTTTTTTTCTGGGTGGTTAAATCAACAGAGATTCAACATGTTTAAGCGTGCGAATGTCTTTTTAATTGGTTAGGGTTTAGTCAGTGTGTTCAGCGTTGAAACTTAAATTTATGATATTATAATAGCACTTAATATTATTAATTCCGTATTTTTATTTAAAGAATATTAAGTTATTGGTATCTTGTTCGTGATATATAAGCTAGAATGTAACTTGTACCAATGAATAATCATATGATGAAAACTTTTTTTTTATTATTATTATTATTTTCCTCATCTAACTTCACATTAATCAATAAAATTTACTTAATTATAAAGAGACAAAGATATAAGAAACATAACTAAATGAAATAGAAAGAAAAGTAAAAACTAAAAGTACGAATTTTTTTAAACTAAATCTATATCAGACGATGAAAGTTTATTTTTCGATCTTATGTTTGAATAACAGTAATTTCTTGAAGTTAAAATTTAAAATATGTATGGTAATATTATGATATTTAGCTTTATTTTTTATTATTGAAAAGCAAAAATATTCTCATACTTTTTTAGATCAAAATTTATAGTCTAAAAGTGCTAAGATTAAAAATGGTAGAAAATCTTATTTTTAAGGAAATGAAAAAAAAATTACAGTTATTTCTCTTGTTAGGTTAAAATGACACGGGTATTTGAAAAAATATTAAAAATTTATTATAAGTTATAAAAATTGATGTTTTGATTGGTTTGTATAAAAAAAACACTGAACTACACATTTAAAAATGGACTTAGTGTAAGACATTATGTAGTTTTCCTACGTTCTTAATCCATTATAGAAAACTACTCTACAAAATCTTTAGATTATTGATTTTCACAATTTTACATATATCAATACATGAATCATAGTAAGAAGACTAACCTTGATCCATGAGAATCTTTTCTTTGATCTTTTCGTTTTCCTATCTCCTTTTCCCAATCTATCTCTTTGTCTTTCTTTCTCTTCTCACGCTTCGCTTTCTTGATGGTTTACCGTGAAAAAACCTTATGACCAGAGACAGAACCCTTATTTCATTTTATTAACCAACGTCCATCAAATTGGTTACCGTAAGTTAATATTTTATTTTATCTTTATTTTATTCTGACTTCGCATAATAACCAATAGGTCCTCATATTTTATTAAATCACATTTGGGTCCATTATTATATTTCACATGAGTCACATAATGGAATGAATTAATTAAATTAATTCTAACATTCTCCCACTTGACTCATGTGATGTCATACGATTCTGTGATTTAATAGTTAAGTCATAATGGGCATTAAAGGACCTTACATAAATTGGTTCTATCATTATTCATAATTAAAGATACA